TTCATGATAGAAGCAAATCAATGAATGCAGAATTTACAATAAAGTACTCTGGCTAAGACATATTTCTGTACACAGTTTAAGTCGAACATCAATTCGAAACTAAAACTTGCTTTTTTTATCTCAAGAAGAAATATATTTAACACTGTCGGATGACAATCTAAGGTCTACGGATGAAAAATTATGACTATTTACTTACTAACGAAGGGATTTTCCAAACTTGAAACTCACTTTTGAGTTTGAACTCTGTGCATAAGGCTGAGATTTTAATCTATAGCATGGTATGTACAAAAGAATTGTATGGCGATATTTTGTTTATGGATAGGCCGATATTTAACTAGAATGTCCTCTTCACTAAATGTTGTATTCCTAAATGAAATATGAGATTCTGGAATCTTTCGTGGAATAGAAGTGATTTTTTGGGAATTCAATATCTTGTCAAGCGAACATTCTAGATACACATAGGCATATCTATAAACCAAAGGCCTAGTAGTTCTTATCGTTTTTATGCTTGGTAATACACAGAGTTTAAACTCAAAAACGGTTTTAAAGTCGGAAAGATTTCCTCGGAAGCGCAAAAAGTTTCTGATAAATAATTTTTTATCGAAAATTTTGTCTATAGAAAAGAAATCTCTCAACTGATAAATTACTTTTTAGTCGAGACAATGTGACTTTTATGATTGTTTTTGTCTCTCTCAAAAACACTAAAAAAAAACGATTTTCAAATTTTGACTTGAAACTTTGTACAGAAATATGCCTTAGCCAGAGTACTTTATTGTAAATTCTGCATTCATTGATTTGCTTCTATCATGAAATAAGTACATAAAGTCTGTCGATTTATATGAACGATGTAAAAGACATGGGATAGGAAGAACAATCAAAATTTTCAAACCTTCACAGTAAACTATTTTCACTGATATCTGTTTGTATGCGAAGTTTGAAATATTCAATTACTCAAAATAATTCAACGATTTACCATAGGAAAGTACAGTAATCAAGTCTTGTTGGAAATTAAATATTTCGAAGAATTAAGACGTATTAATTTTTCATTGAAATTTTTAGGATGATCACATTTTTTATCTGAATCATATAGAATAAATATATTAGTAGTTTATAGTTAGAGAAAATTCGATTAATAATTCTCCCTTAGAAATATACATCGTCAAGACAATTTATATAATATTGATCTTTCAGGGATGCATTTGTCTTCCTTTCGTCAATCTACTTTTCTAAGATATATTTTGTCTTTTTTTTTTGAAGTCCTAATCCATCTCTATACAATCAATATATATTTATTTTCATATAGATTAATCAATGTTCAATAAAACTTCGTATACATGTTTATAATCTTTATTCAATTTCAAATATATATCCATATTTTTTTCAATCATTTTATATATTAACAAGTAATAATATTTCTCGATTTATTCTTCCATCATTGCCATCTCATGTAAAATATATATCATCAAAACCAAATGAAATATTAATTGATGAAAAAAATGGTTCAATTAAAATTCCATCATCATCATTATTATATTCATTTTATTCATATGATTTTTCAATAAAAGCTATTGATTCTCAAATACCATCATTAAGTTGTTCAATATCAATACGTATTTATTTTGGTATTAATCAACAATCACCTCAATTACGTAATAATTTAACAAAACAATCAATTGAAATTTCATCATCAGAATTTATTTATCAAATTCAAGCTTATGATCCCGATATATCATATAATGATCAAAATAATTTATTTCCACCATCAATTGAATATGAAATTGATTCATTAGAAAATCTTGAAATTGAACGTTATACAGGTCGAATATATTTTAAAAATATCAATCAATCACAATATAATTTTACTTTAATTTTAATTGATTTTGGTCAACCAAATCGTTTAATAACTCGACAAAGAATAGTATTTGATTTAATATCAAATGAAAAAATAAATCATCAAGAAATTCCAATTATTATTTCAACAACATTTTTTTTAATTAGTACTTGTATACTTTCAATAGTTATTCTATTAATTATTATTACAATTTTATTTAATTGTTATCATGGTAAATTATTAAGAAATAAATCTTTATCAAATCTTTCACCAACAACACCGGATAGTTGTTTAATTGATAATGAATATGTAAGATATTTGAATAGAAATTATTATTTTTCTGATTTGTTTTTTGTTTTTAAGATTACAACAACAACATCATTACCTCGTGTTGTTAATCGTGAACAACGTATTTATCCAACGATTTCAAATGATAATGAACGAAAACTTTTAGAACAAATTCATCTTCCACCTCCAACATTATATTCAAATGAAAAAATATCTATTAAACAAGATTGTCAACGAAATTTATCAATGAATGATATTAATAAATATTTAGAACGTTTTGAAAAAATTTATAATAATTCATCCGAACATCATCTAGGAGAACCCGTAGGATCAGTTGTGTAAATATGTTTGTTACTAAAAAATTTTTGTCTTTTTTTAATCAATAAAATTCATCAGTGATAATTCAAATTGATATTAATTGTATTCTATCAAATAGTTTTAAAAATAACTTTTATTTTCCCCATATTCCTCAATAAGAATCCNCATATTGTTTAATTAATATTGTTAATTCGTCATCTTTTAACATTCGAATTGTTGTTTGATTTGTTGTATCATCATGTTGTAAAACAGCTATTTCAATTTTTTCCGGTGTTAATTTAGTTGTATCAAGAGTTTTACTAAATACTCTTATAGCTAAACGTAATGCATCATTTAATTGTGTTTCACCTATTTTATATTCTTGTTTAAGAATTGATATAGCTGTTTGAGAATTATGACCAACACATGTTGCTTTCCATCCACCATAATTTCCACTTGGATCTGATTGATATAATTGATAGCCATAATGTTTGTCCCAACCCATATAAAGAAATGATACACCAAATGGACGTTTACCACCAAATTGTGTATATGCTTGTTTTATATTGCATAAACGTGAGACAATATATTCAATTGGTGCCGGTTCTTGATATGTTAATAAATATCTAAATTAAAATAGAATAATTTATTTCTTGTACGAAACGCATTCTAAAAGCAGTGTTGAATATAGAACTGTGAGTTATTCCAGACATCGACTTGCGGCTCCTTACTTTTGCTTTTGAGATGTTGAAAATACTGAACTTCTATACCTTTGCTTGTGAAACATGATTGTTTTTGGATATTTAATATCTCAAGGAGAACGTACTGATTTCGGATGAAATTTCCAATGCGCAATTTAATATATTAAACATTGAGTAATAGGCGAGTGAACAGCCCAGAATAGCTAAAACCTTAATCTTAGAGTTGAAGAATAGGGTTAAAAATTTTGACCCCCACACACTGTTACTAATATATTGCATTTCAAGTGGATTAAGTAAAAAGATGGTAAAGACATGTGCCTGTGATAAGCAAAAATAGCTGTATCATTTTTGCACATTTTAATCAAATGAATTACCTTTGTCCAATCAAACGTAATTCATTAATTAATACATTTGCATCACTAGTAATACCAGAAACAGAACAACAAAGATCATCATGAACTTTATAGATTTTTTCCGAATATTTAACATCATCAAGTAATGGACTAATATTACGTTTTTCACCAGCAAGTACAACACCATTCTCAGCAAGAATTCCTAATGAAGCACCTGCATGTGATATAGCTTCTAAAGCATATTCAACTTGATATAAACGACCTTCAGGTGAAAATATTGTTGCACGTGTATCATAACGGCGAGCCATTATTAAAATCTACAAATTAATTCATAGACAAAACAACGATTAATTATATTATTACGTTTAAGCGAGATTCCAAAGAAATATTAAATATACAAAGACAACAGAAAAAAAAAACACATTTGTACAGAAAAATTTCGTTTCCTTTTTCATTGATGAGCTTCTAAATGGCGACGTTTTGGTTTTTTAGGATTACGCGAACGACTTTTAGCTTTACATATCGGACATATGGGTGCATTACGATGAATTTGTTGTTGACATGATTGACAAGTCTGCAATACAAAAGACAAAATAAATGATTAATGTTTAATTTTATGGTAATATTTTCAATTCAAATGTAAATAAGAACATAAGCCACACTTATCAACGACTACTGTCCTGCGAAATTCAATTTCTTGATTGCGAAAGCTTTTTTTTTGACTAACATATATAATTGTTTTTGTACTAATTATTAATGAGAATGTCTCTCGGGTGAATCAGTACAATATACATAAATTTTGTTTAACTATTGCTAGCATGAACTCTTCAATGTTGTTATCGTACTTGTCCGTATTTCAAAAGAAAAAAAAATCTATTACTATTCGAAATTATGAATTGACTCTTAAAGTAACCTAAGACAATTTCTGATTTAAAAACTACCTTCATTGGTGGTGGTTGTTGACGAAATGTTGCTCGATCAAGATTCGATCCAATATTACCAATAACTTTTGGAATATTCAATGTGGAAGCTTGCTGTTGATTATTATTCGGCATTGGAATATTAGTACTTGTTGTATTAGCCATTTGTTGAGATTGATGATGCTGATATGGTACACCTAATGGAATCTGTTCATGAGTATTATCTAATCCTGTTGATGATAAATGACTACTTCGATTAGAAGTTAGATCATGATCACCTGATTGTTGAGAAATTAATCTAAATTTTTTTCTTTGGATTTTAAAATGCAAGAAAAAAAAGTTCAATACTAACTGTATTGCTACTAATGTTGTTTCATCTTCGTCGTGATCAGGAAGTCTTTCAAGATTAAGCATATCGCGTAATTTATTTATTTGTTCTTTTATTGGTTGATAGTCTTTCAATAGACGTTTACTATCTTGTAATGCTCTTGTTCGTTCTTCCTCAGCTTGTTTTATAGTTGTTTCCATAATATTAATATCAGCATGTATTAATCTTAATTCTTCAATATGTGACATACGTTCTTGTACAAGCATATCAAGTTCTTTACGAAATTCACGTAAAACTTGATTTTCACGTGTAAATAATTCAGTATTTTGTTGTAAATGATTTTGAAGACGTTGAAATTGATTTTGCTTTTCTCTATTTATAAAAAAAAACAAAATATCGAATTCTTTTTTTATATTTCAAAAATATTATTCATCAACAAACCCTAATTCTTTAATTAAATCAAGTTTACGCATAGATGTTACTAAATCTTTTTCATCAATTGATGGTGTTGATGAAGGAGTTTTTTCACTAATACCACTTGTATTTTCCATTAAAGTATTTTTATTTTATATTCTTACTTCTAATAACTGACAGTAGAATAGTAGTAATAGTAGTAGTACGACTTATATCATCATCTACTGAACGAAACAAATAAAGGTCAAATAAAAGAATGACCAATAGGAGAAGAGGGCGTTAGTATCGAACATTTATTTTTTAAAGAATTCTTTTTATATATAAACAATAAAAAATTATTTATTGAAGATTTAATTAATTTTTAATAAAATATTTTCAATTTTAATTTATCCTAAAGGTTGTTATCAAGAGTATTTGTCTACCAATGAGGAATAGAATAAACTTTGACAATCAATCCTCGCTGTAGTTGGCAATGCACTACGATCAAAATTATTCGAGTAGAGAATTTGAATTTGCTGCAACGTTTTTTAGCTGAAACACAACAATTTTACAGAAGCCCCCAAAACTACTTTTTGGACCTTCAATCAACTTATCTTGGAGACGTTTTATTTTGTAGATAATAGTAAAAACATAATCTAAATCGATCAGCAAGTTCAGTGAGAGAATATTTAGTGGAAATAATAGTATTTGAAAAAATCTTGATCAATGAATCCGAATCTATCAATGAGTGCCATGAACTTAAGTTCAGTCTGATAAAGACTATTGTTTGTGAAGTTCACATTTCGTAGTCGGAAAAAATATTGAGAGATTACTTGTACATTAAATTTCTACAATACTGAAAATCTTTCATCAAGTTTTATCAAATGCGGTATTTCTGTCAAATAAATTTACCATGAGAAAAATCAAAACAAAATATTACGATATTCAATCTAACTATTTTATTTTGTCTTTGAATAGGAGTTTTTAAAAATATAAAACATTTTACTTATTTATGTTAATGGAACTTTTTATGTAAATGACTCTGCTTCTTGATATTATTTATTTCATCGTGATAGGCAAAACAATATACAATTGATTGACACACTTGTGCGCATAAATAAAATGAGTCGGCTTTAACTGACTCAGTATTGAGCTGATTTGAAAGATTTTTTGAAAAGAAAATACGATCATTTTTCTATTTTTTTTAATATTTTAATTCCATTTTGATTTCAAAAAGAAGAAAAGATATAATTTTTTTTTTGATAATAAAGTTTCTGATTATCTATTTATTCTAGTTCCTATTAAAATATTTTGTCTTTCAATAATGGAACACGCTGATCATTTTTCTATCCAACAGGTAGCATATAATCGGGATACAGTGCTATGCAAATTGTCAATACGAATTATGAAAGAAAACGTTAGTTGTTGATGCCAGAGAGAGTAAAAAACTGCTTCTGTATGACTGAAAAAAACAGATTCATGCCAAAAAAAAGGCTGCCAAATGTTGGAAACGATGGTCTAGATTACAGATTATTATAGAGAACAAAGCTGAAAATCAAGAGACCACCGTCAATGACACAAAAAATTCTATTTTTTTTCATATAGTTGAAGTTAACCTACAATTTAAGTAATATCGTCACTGATTCGTCCAGAAACTTGTTCCGAATACAAATTGAGGACTCCTATTCCAATGATATAAACAGACTTTTTCAGAGTTCAAACTATGCTCCTGAAAACTTTAGAATAGTGCTGTTTTACTAAAGAGATCTTCGAATCCGTATAGTAATACCATTCTACATTACAATATAAAACTCAAGTAAATAGATTGGTCTAATTCGTAGCATTATACTTTTTTAAAATGATTTTTGACTTGATAGTTCTGATTATGATTGAATTATCGGTTACAAGTCAAAGACAAAACATCAATTATCTTTTGTGAAGTGGTTATACTGATGTTTTCATACTAATATAGTTCAAATATCTATACCGTTGACGTTCATCAAGGCAATTTTATAAACCTGTTGAAACATCATACGCAAACAAAGTATTCAGTAATGAACTGTCACGAATCCAAACAAATGAATGCGACTAACCGACGCCATGATAAACGTTCAGAATAGCATAAACATAAAATCAGATCCATGGCTCTCGATGTGGGAGGGGATGGGGTTGGCTAGCTCCTCCAACTTTTCTGGTATATCTGCGAATATTTTCTCGTTAAATGTCTGCCAAATATTTCAAGCAATCTTCGACTTCTGGCACATTCAGTAGACAGTCTTGGTTAACAGATATATCAGATAGTGTAGGTCTGGCAAATCTGGCAGACAATTTGTGACTTCTGCTAGATTTAGTAAGCAATCTAAGTCTCGTATATCTCGTATACGATCTGTAACTTCGACGAATCCTACAGACACAATAGGGCTTGCATCGAATATGAAACTAAGCTTTAGTAAACCTTGCCTCCTGTCACGGCAAGCTCAGTTGTCTTTCTGTGAAACTAGACTACAGTCGACTGGAATTTTTAAAATTAAGCTTAAAAAGCGTTTCACTAATGACTAACCGTTACAAGAGTAGCCGCCTTCGGCAGCAACAACACTGAGAAGCGCCTCTGCATTGAATATGAAAGACTTTTTCCGGAAACTTTCAAGCAAAGTATATCTCTTAGTAATGTGCGAAAAATGTTCGCTCCCTGAGATATTGACATTTGAAAGAGAGGTGTGGGTGTGCCACGCCCATACCCTCCTATATTTACAAATAATATTTTCATAAAATGATGTAACGGATTGATTTCCTTCTTGATGAATGTGGCAAAATTCTTGCATTAATTGACTCTCAGATGTAAATTCTTTGAATCGATATCGTAATGCTGGTACTGTTAATTTGCCCATTGTTTTGCGAAATTTTGTTTCGTCTTTTAATTTCATTAATGACTATAAATTATTCAAATAGAATAGCCATTCATCAATATCAAGTTCATTAACTTCTCCCGAAACTTGAATTATTTTCTTCGCTGCTTCTTTTTGACTTGAATGAAGTTGTCGAGGTCCCATCGAGGTTGTTTCCATTTCTTGCATAAATGACACATCGTTTGGTTTTCTATTGCATATTCTTGTTGATGAATATGTAATTAATTCGTACGATAGAAGATTCGCACCACTGTGTTTTATCGCCCTTCTTTTATCGATAACCGTTGTGAAATACATGCACTTAAAGGAAGGATAAGGAAATTGAACTCTATATAGAAGAAAAATACCTTCTTATAATAAATAAAATTCGTAGATAATATATGTATGTGTAATTTTTAATCTCTCTTCTCCTCAAAGGATAGAAGTGTACTTCACACTTTCGATAACGCATGAGTAAATTAAATCATGAACTGGTTCTTCTTCGATCGAGTAAGTGGAAGAAGACCGATCACAGCACCAAATTGTTAGCTCGTTTTGACGAGCTTTAAGTTTATTTATTTTATATATTCTGCCAAAAATGTCCTTAACGTCTTGTACATATATATATATATATATATATATCATAAGAGATAGAGACGAGAACGATATGAAGAAAAAGATGAGGATGAATCATCACTGCTAACACTCACTAAGGCCAAAGATTCTTTTTTATAGGTATCTTTGGATCAACACTTTTTCCTTTAAGTATTTTTATCAATTTTCACAATAATCTCAACTCAGATTATGTTAAAATGCAGCGCAAGTCACCCTCTTCTCGCTATAAAATTAACATTTTTGTTTTTTAAATCCGCTTAGAATTAGAGTCTGAGAAATAATGAAATATGTGATAATTTTATAGCGAAAGAAGGGTGATTTGAGCTACGTTTTGACATAATTCGAATTGAAATTATTGTGAAAATTGATGAAAATACTCAACAGAAAAAGTGTTAATTCAAAGACACCTATGAAAAAAGCATCTTTTGCGGGCGTGGATTCTGTTGAGGAAATGATTCACATCTGCACCTACACTGTCCCTTTGGAACTTATTGATCCTTTTACACTCTATCGCATATGAATGAGAATCTAAATCTTATTTTCGCATCATTCATATTTCCAACTGCCACAAACAAACTACAATCTGCATTGTCGAATACTAACGGCAACATCTCGAAAATAAAAGTCCATTTCATTCAACAGCGTCGGAAACACTCCAACGAAATTTTACTCGTATACAGTAATTATCGACAATGCAAGCGTACACTATCTCTTGTCACTGAAGTGACATGTGCAAAGATTCAAAAAAGAAACACCTATCTGTTCATGCTTCAATTATGAGAAAAATATTTGATATCTTCAAAATCAACCATATCACATTGAAAATCAAAATACTTTATTGTCGTATCCAAACAAAATAACATGAAAGAAAAGTAAATTAAACATTGAACTAGAATTTTCAGTTCCTAATTCAACCATCGTCGAACCAAGTGCTCACGATTTTGTTCTTTGTTTATTTCGCTCAATCAATTCGTTCAAAGAAGTTTCAAGTCTCTGTCCAGTTTCATTGCCACAGAGATTTAGTGTGGTGAGTGTCTGTGTGAAAAAGTGTCAATAGGTATATAAGATAGATGAAGAGAGGATCAGGGTCACCGTGTTATTTCGTAATGAAGCTGAGAATCTAAATGAATTTCTTTTTTATTCTGTGATTATATTTGATAGATATGTCCGTTATACAATGTTTTCTGTATAATCTGTCATCTGGTTGGCCGCCCAATTTTCGTATAGAACACGCAGAAAAGTCGAAGAAAGTGTCATTGTTTAGAAAACTAGGGTGTGGATGTGGATGTGTTGGGTGTGGTAGTGCGTGTGAATGTGAACGAAGAACATTAATACCCACACCCATTATGTATTTTCCCACCATGACACCATAGTTGCTCTATTTACAGGGCACTATGATTGTCCTGGTTGGAAAAATTATGTTGTTGAAATCGGAACTTTAAAAAATGTGATTACAATTCAACAAGCACTTCAAACATATAATTCAGGCTAAATTAGTTATTTTTGTTAATAAAATTATGGTCATTAACATTTGAATTTAGTGATGATCAAATGACCAAAGCAATTAATTATGGCAAAATAATGGCAGATTTTCTTACTGATGTCAAAAGTTGTCGAAATACTACAAGTCAATCAGATATTTTACATGATTATTAAAATCTTAACCAACGTGATTTAACACTTGATAAACATCTTTGAAAAGCTAAAAATTCAATTTTTTACGCTTTACTCGACTCTATTGATACAGCAACTATTATGAATTGTATAAGTCAATTAATCATAACAACAAAAATATATATAAGTGAAACTAATTCAACAATCAATGCTGGTGGTTTAAATCATATTCATAGTTATATAATACATTTGGTTTAAATTGTTGTACATCATCTATTGATGATATTGATACGTCTCCCTTTCAAAAATTTATTTCAATTTATAAAGCTGTATGTACACAAAAAGAAGAAATTCTTGCATTACATGATTATTTAAAAGATAAGATTTTACCAGGATTAAGTATTCAAATTGAAAAACAAGATATAAAATTGAATTTTCTATATTTTGAAGCTGGTATGAATAAAACGATAATTAAATTTTGGGGTTTAGAAATGTTAAAACATGAACGTGAGCAAGCATTAGTAGTTGAAGAAAGTAAACAAGAAGAAAAAGAACAATCAAAATTCGAAAAACAATTAGATAAAGAAGAACAGAAAAAAGCAAGTGAAGAAAAAGAAGGTAAGGTATATCGATGATCGAATATTTTCATGAGAATGCTATATTTCTTTTATTCTCTTTCAGAAATTTGATACGAAAAATTGATCAACAGCATCTACTGAAAATCGTGTAATTGCAAGTTCAACAACTAGATAGGATCTTCTTCAAAAAAACTCCAGTGGCATTCATTTATTATTGTTATTTATCGTATTTATCTAGATTAATTTATAACGTAAATGTAAAACGATGCAAATCTTTAAGATTTTCATTATCTTTAATATTCCTTTTGTTGCATGCATTTTATTTTTGCTTATATACTTATAAACACAGGTCACAGCATCCATTTTCTTCTTGAAATTTAAAAAAAAAATTAATACACAGTCACATGTCTTTACTTATGAAATAATCAATTATTTATTATAAACAAATATTTATCTGTATAATTGCTTATAGATTATCATGGTAAATTGATAATAAATTATTGTCAGAGAGAGATTTGCCCATATAGTAATGAGAAAGGGAAAATGGATCGTCGTTTGAAAAATTTAGATATGAATATGGTTTTCTAAGGTGATCAAAAGAAATGTGAAGTCCTTGTATTTGGTGGTGCTGGTTTCATAGGTAGTCATTGTGTTATTGAACATTTTAATGCTGGTTATGAATCGCTTGTATTGAATAATGAATATAATTCATCAACAGGTTAGATTTTAAAAATTTAATAGAAAATCATTGTCAATTAAAATTTATTTTTTTTTAGAATGTCTAAAACGTGTTAAACAAATAATTGAATATAAAATAGTTAATTAGAAAATTGATTGACTTGATATAGAAAGTTTGCAAGATGTTTTTAAAAAACATTCTATTGATGCTATTCTCAATTGTGCTGTACTTAAATCTGTTGGTGAATCAATTCAAAAACCAATTTTATATTATAAAAGCAATATCGGTTGTTTACTTAATTTACTAATTGTAAAATTTGTTTTTAGAAATAATCAATTATTTTATGGAACACTTTTTTAGTGTATGAAAGAATTTAATATAAAAAAATTCTTTTTTCATCATCAGTCACTCTTTATGGTATATCATAATATTTACAACTTGATGAAAAATATCCATGTATTGGTAATGTTATTAGCAATCTATATAGGAAAAGTAAATATATTTGTGAACGATCTCTTCAAGATGCAGCAATTGTTCATCCTGTTTGTATTCTTTTGTTATGGAATTGAATTAATCTTTCATTATTTTTTGTAGGAATGAAATATTATTCTTTTACATTATTTTAGGGTGTGGATGTGGGTTTGTGACGTGGATGGAGTGTTGGTGTGACATGAAAGTAGTCTTTAACTCACACTCACAGTCACATCCACCCCACACCCACCCCACTTCCACACCCTGACTTCTTTACTACTGTCACTCAGAAAGAAAATTTGGTATCGGATGAAGATTTTCTACTGACTTTAGGCATACTTCAAATTTAGGTTATATTAGGTTGAGATTCGACTTTCTAGGACAAATATATGAATGAAGTGGGTAAAGCTCTTTCGTTCTGACGGAAAGTACCACGATGGGCAATACTAGATCCAAATGTATAATCACATCTTTACATCCCCCCCCCCCCTAGTTTACTGTTCTGATCTTTAGTAATTATGTATAAGTCTTAAGAAATATGCCATTATCATATTCATGAATTGTAACTATACTCCTATTTAATAATGAATATTTGACGTTAAATCATTAAAAAATAATTAATTCCGAAAAGGTGATATAATCACGTAATTAAATAGGCTATCAAAAACATATTCTTTAAGTTTAAATGGTCTACAATTATCGAAAGTTACATATGACCCTTGATTTTTCTACAGAATTCTTTGAAAAAATAGTTCTACTATTTGACAATGTAATATCGCGTTTTTTATGAGCCTTCATCTTACTCAAATGCTAAAATACCGACGTTAGTACATGTTATTATTTATGTGATACAATTTACGTTTCAGATACTGTTGATGAATGTCAATCGATTCGTGTTGCTGTATCACAACAAAATTTAAACTTATTCACATATATTTGAGTTTTAAAGTGTCAACTCTTTCACATTCAAATCGCTAAATCTTGTTCAGAATTGAAAATTTCACTAGTATAATTGTGATGATCATAGAATTGACTAATATACTTAAGCTATTCATTGTACATGTAATTCCAAGTTTGAAGTGAAGTTGATGCGTAAATCTGCTTTCTAACCAGTTCAACTTACATCCACTTTGGATGATTAACAATAGTTAAGACATTAATGCGTTTTATAATTCATCTCGATATAGACTATGAGTATACTATTTAATATAAATAACAAAGGAATGCACTGCTCTCGATAAATAACAGGCGAAAATAAACATCATAACTTCAACAATAGAAAGACAAATTTTTCTGAGGAAACAGTCAAAGGTTGCAGTATTTCAAAGGTAACTATGCAATGATAAATGATCATCATTTATTTTATAGTTTTAAACTAAATAGTATTTTATTCAAATCTTCTGACATACTCACAGATTTGCACTACATTTGATATTGACGAAAGTACTATTCTGAATACTTCGACATAGAATAAAGCGTTCGAAAACAAATATTAATTGCTTCTTTTTCTTTTAAAATTAATATACTTCGTTTCTCTTCAATTATTGAAAATATTAGAGAACATTTATTCAAGATAAATTGTGGATGGCTGTAATATAGATCATCTATTGTATACCTATGTCAACCTTTGATAACATCCTTAGTTTGACTAAGCTGATTTGTAAACGTCGTGATATTAACTTACACATCTAAAATCGAAGAAAGTCAGGTTTTTTTCTTCGATTAAATCAAAACTCAATAGGTGATGCTTACACGCATTGGTTCGTTTTTGTGTATTTCCTTCAAATGCTTACAACAGCGTCCAAATTACCTATGTAGTCTAGACGTAACACATTTTTCATTTTTCTGCTTCATTAACCATCATGTTTTAAAAAATACACCAGCATGTATGATATCGGTGTACATCATGAATCAAGCAATATGATGTGCTTATTTTGAGTGTTAATTGGTCGACTCGTATTTCGACACCTTTTTAGCAACGAAAATGCATTCGTAACATAAATATTTTGTTTTGCGTCAAACGAAAAGTAAACGTTTGGAAGGAAGACGAGCACTCCGAAAAGGTATGTAAAATGCTCCATTTTTCAAATAACATACGGCCAAATTAAAAGGCCTTGCTATAATCAATCGTAGAGTTCGATGATCCCTCTACTTTCTATTTCTATTTCGACAACATATTTTTCGGTAAGTATGCTGTTGCCATTTGAGACTTGAAATTCCATCTATGCTAAATTTGCAAATGCCGTTTTGCCAGAAAATATTTAAGAGACATCATAAAAATAGATGCATTTGAACACTCTTATGATAGAATGTGTATAAAATCAAGTATATTCATAACTGAAAATCATTTCTTCACATCAGATGTAATGATAGATACAAATAGATTATTAACTTATCTTCACGTACAGACTTGCAGTAAGCCTTGCCTATGAATGAAGTTCAAAATCAATTTGACTTATAAGCATGTGAATTCATCCAATTAATCATAAAAGAATGAACAAAAGGCTTCTTTTGTTTATAAATTTTTCAGAAATGCCAATGGATTGATGGGTTATTTTATTGGCATGTTTATCTATTAGGGGACAATTTCTTTTACAAGACAGATCATTTTGTTTTGGAATGTTATTTTTTCCTAATTCCACATCCATATCCGCACCCTCTGTAAAGTATGTGTTTCTTTGAAGGATTCTTCTCATACGAATCATGGAACATCTTGCAATAAGAATTTTACGACTCGCCAATTGTATTGTTTGATCTTTGAAAGTTTTAGTACTTATTTTATCGCAAGATTTTATAATAATTCGATAACAGTAAATTCATATAAGATTGTTTCAATTAAATTTGATTTTCTATAGAGTCTTCTTTGAATGAATTGCGAAGAATCACTTGTCGTAAAAATAAATTTTATTGTATTTGTTGCCTATCTCTTGAATGAGAGGTAAAACAGAACAATTGTTTGTGTCATGAACAAGGTTATCGAATTTTTCCACTTGCGTAATATATTAGACTTTTCTCCTTGACAATAATGAAATCGTTTGACAAAAGATTAGTTACTTTCGATTCCTAAATATTGCCATTCGTTCACTCGGTCTACTGTTTATACTCGTCATTATGCAAATTTTCTGTCGAATAATACAAATTATGACTATAATTATAATATCGATAGTTTAGAAGCCTATCAATGCGATTGTCAAATTCTTTTGCAAAGCCCGATATGAAAGCAGTGTTCAAGTTATGTAGAGTAGATATTCGAGTGCACTGTTCTTCTCTAACATATGATTTCTGCAGTCCGTCTATCATTAGTATCTGATTAGAATCTATGTACCACTTGTTTATTACAGTTCTATATCATCTAGTATATAATGAGATGAAGAAATGTATTTTAAAATATATCGAATAAAAAAGAATTACTGATGACAATCATTACATTGTGTTTCACATTTTCATTGCATAGGATCTGTGTTAATTGAATTTCAACCAAGTACTCTTGTTTTTTTACAATAAACATTTGACGGACAAGGCCGACTAAATTACACCCTAAAATGAATTCGAAGTAGAAATTTCCGACAAGGGGAACGAAGAAAATATTTTATTTTCACTATTCAGGTCAGCATCCTTTAATTCATCAAGATTAATCAAGAAAACTTATTTGGTCGATCACAAAACCAAAAAACGGTTTCGTCTGAATGGTGATAAAGAAATGTGTCGTAAGCCTCAGAAAGAATCGTTACATAAAGATTTTTCCAAATACGTTAAGTATACGGCATCGCAACTTCCACCCAAAGTTGATCTTCGACGATGGATGACAACTGTTGAAGATCAATCGGACATCAACAGTTGGTCAGTAAAATATTTTCATGTTTATTGTTGAATATCAAATTGAATTTCAGTCGCATAAATCAGTAAATTATCAGAAATTGTACTGATGATTTTAAGTCAGCAAATATACGAATACAAACGAATGATCAACAACAGATAAAAATCAATATCATTGTAATACTTGTATATTTTTAAAATAACAATGAGCTTTTGTAAATGAAAATCCATAATGCCATTTCAATGTTTCTTCAAGTCTTTGAAACATGTAGTAATAAAGAATATTTTTCGCTACCAATCACATTATCAAATATCCAGTACAAGCTCTCCCTCACACTAGCAAAAAAACGACTTTTTACAAAAAACTCTAGTCGGTAAAACATTCTTTATTTTCAGCACAGCCAATGCCATCGCTGGGGCTTATGAATATTTAAATCACAAAGCCACTGGACGAAAAATCGATATTAGCCGTCTTTTCATCTATTACAACAGTCGTGATAGAAGCTTGGCAGAAAATGAAAGACTTAGTGATGAAGGTTCGACCATTACAGATGCAGTCGAAAGTATGCAAGAGTTAGGTGTGTGTCTCGAATCACTTTGGCCATACAATATTAACAAAGTTAATAGCAAACCTAAGAAACAATGTTATGCTGCAGCCCAAGAATACACTATTAATGAGGCACTTGAAGTTGACATTGATATTAACGAAATGAAATCTTGCCTTGCTCAAGGATTTCCTATAATAATTAGTCTTAACTTGTTCAAATCATTTGGCAAAGCAAGAGAGAAAGGAATCGTTTCAATGCCTAAAGCACATGAAACTTCACGTTCAACGCATGGAAGGTAACGGATACGCACGCTTAGACTTATCTCAATAAAATAGACAAAAAGCAAAGCTAATTCGTTTTCAGGAAAGTCGTCGATATCATTTTCTGAGGATTGTGAAAATTAACTTCATTTTAATAACAGATAATGGCGTGTTGCATTTCTTATTGTAGACATGCCGTTCTAGCGTCAGGCTACAGCGATGCATCGAAAGCATTCATTACGAGAAATTCATGGGGAGAAGATTGGGTATGTCGTCAAATTACTATCTGTTTCATTTACTGTATATTTGTCTTCATACTAACTAGGGTGACAAAGNAGGCACTTGAAGTTGACATTGATATTAACGAAATGAAAGCTTGCCTTGCTCAAGGATTTCCTATAATAATTAGTCTTAACTTGTTCAAATCATTTGACAAAGCAATAGAGAAAGGAATCGTTTCAATGCCTAAAGCAGATGAAATTTCACGTTCAACGCATGGAAGATAACGGATACGCACGCTTAGACTTATCTCAATAAAATAGACAAAAAGCAAAGCTAATTCGTTTTCAGGAAAGTCGTCGATATCATTTTTTGAGGATTGTGAAAATTAACTTCATTTTAATAACAGATAATGGCGTGTTGCATTTCTTATTGTAGACATGCCGTTCTAGCATCAGGCTACAGCGATGCATCGAAAGCATTCATTGTGAGAAATTCATGGGGAGAAGATTGGGTATGTCGTCAAATTACTATCTGTTTCATTTACTGTATATTTGTCTTCATACTAACTAGGGTGACAAAGGCTATTGTTATGTACCTTATGATTACATGGGAAATAAAAAACTGTGCAATGCGGCTTGGACTGTGAAAAAATTAGCGGTGGAGGACATGGGAGCCGATGTGTGGGAAGATGAAGATGAAGTCAATTATTTAGATGATGATGAGGATGACGACGCCGACGACGACGACAGCGATGAAGAAGACGATGCTGATATTGAAGATGTGGAAGAAGAAGACGAGAGCGAAGGCAACGACGACGAAGATGATTAATAGTGTTCGCAGAAGAGACAATAAAAAGCACTAGTCTATTATCTATTTTAGTGTTCTATTAGAATATAGGGATTAACAATTTTTTTTAAACATTTTGCAAACTGACCCTTCAATAAATACGAATAGAAAAGTTGACAACTCTGTAATATTGAATGCTTCATAGAAGTGGCATCCTCATTTTTCAAAGTAATATTATCTTCAATTTTCCTTTATCAAGTTTCATTTATTTTGTTCGATTCTGGTGAAAAAATTTCGCACGAAAGCGTCTTTTTAGGGTCCTTGACATTTTGTGGTTTCATCTTTTAACAAAGATCAAAACGTTCTCGTATCAAAATCAACAAGACTTGATTAATAATCATTATTTTCAAATATTGCAAAACAAAAAATTACTGCTGGTCTCTACGTTGGTATTTTCAAAACGATTCGCTTATGTAGTATAATTGCAGCAGATCTCAAGGTAGATTATCTGCCACGAAAGGATCTTTTAGCCGAGTCTAGAGGATAATATTTCAACTGTATCAGTTCAAAATAATTCATCTTCTGTTCAATGAAACATATAGATATCTGGCTCTAAAAACCATTAGACATTAGAATCAACTTTGCTGTCATAAAATATGAATTGACCAACACATGTAATAGACCAATAGCGTTTCTCGTAGCCATTCTCACTTATTTTTATGTAAAGCTTTGGTTCTTCGCCTATTTCATTAACTAGGAAGTAGTTGACTATATTTGAAATTTTTGTTCTGGAACTATTTTTTAATTTAAAAATATGTCTTATGGTGATTTTGACAAATGAAATAGAGCGTAGAAGTCTATGAAAGCAAGACGAAGTATCTAAAGCAACGCCAACATCGTAGTAAAAGCGACATCTCTTTACTAATACGACGGCAAAACTTCATTGGCCTAAACATACATATGTATATAAAGCGGTCATTACGACATAACGTAGATCTGATTGTGAAATTACTTTAAATTTTATTTTTTATTAGACATGAAAATATTTATTAAATATTATCGGATTTATCGATCATGGATATTTCTATTTGATATCAAGTCGTTTTAGGAATCGATCATTGTAAAAAACCAGAAGCTAGGAATAATAAGATAACAGTAGGATACGGTACAGACGACAAGAAAATTAGTCATTCATAAAGACAGAACACATTTAATGACATAGATAAAATGAAGACACAGAGGATTGTTGGAAAAATAATTTTGGTTCTTCTTTCTTTATATACCCAATGCACATTCACATGT